AAGACTTCAAATTTGTTACTAGTTTCTTAATATGTAACACATGAGACTAAAAGAGCTACATGAGAGGAATGCTACTAAAATTAGGTTTTCAAGTCAAAACAAACAAACAAAAACACCCCATCCTATGCACCAAATAGCATCTAAAAAGTTTGCTTACTCTCAGAAGACAGCACATTCTTCAGGGATGATAACTGATACTAACTCAGACACAGGCTGCGTTCTTCACTTCATAGATGCTCTGTCCCCTTACTAAGGAGGCGGCGGCAGCAGTAGTGGTTAAAGAAAGCCCTGTTCTGATTTCTGGTTCTTCCACTCACTGCCACTGTCTTGCCAGCCAAGTAAGTTACTTCTGCCTATTTCTTCATCTACAAAAAAAGAAATTATCTACTCGAATAGGGCTGGTTTTTCTTTTCCCTTTTTTCTGAAGTAACAGTGTATATCAGGCACTTTCAGTACAGTATCTGACTGATGTGATTAATACCATTTTATTATTATTACTACATGTGGAGCTAGAATCCTGCGTAAGCTCAGAACTCTGGATTGGTGCAGTGAGCTAGTTGAAGAAGTCACTATCATTACATTATACTGGGTTATTCAGGTTTAATTGTTGTTGTTGTTGTTAGGTGCCATCAAGTTGGTACCAACTTATAGCAAGCTTATGCACAACAGAACGAAACACTGCCCGATCCTGGGCCAACCTCACTACTGTTGCCACGCTTGAGTCCAATGATGCTGCCACTTGGATAATCCATCTCATTGGGGGTCTTCCTCTTTTTCTCTGACCCTCCACCTTACTAAACATGATATCCTTCTCCAGCAACTGGTCCCTCCTGACAATATGTCCTAAGTATGAGAGACGAAGTTTGGCCATCTTGGCCTCTAAGGAGCACTCTGGCTGCACTTCGTCCAACACAGATCTGTTGGTTCTATGGGCAGCCCATGGTTCTTTCAATATTGTCCTCCAACACCATAATTCAAAAGCATCCATTCTTCTGCAATCTTCCTTTCATGCATATGAGGTGATTGAAAATACCATGACTTGGGTCAGGCGCACCTTAGTCCTCAAGCTGACATCTTAGCTGTTCAACACTTTAAAAAGGTCTTGTGCAGCAGATTTGCCTAATGCAATTCATCGTTTGATCTCTTGAGTGCTGCTTCCATGAGTGTTGATAGTTGATCCAAGAAGAATGAAGTCCTTGACAACTTCAATCTTTTCTCCGTTGATAAGAATGTTATTGGTCCAGTGGTAAGGATTTTTGTCAGACTTAATTGTTGGTGGTGGTGTTGTTAAGTGCCTTCGAGTCGGTTCCGACCCATAGCAACTCTGTACAGGGTTTCCGAGGGTGTAAATCCTTACGGGAGTAGAAAGCCTCATCTTTCTCCCGCGGAGCGGCTGGTAGTTTCGAACTGCTGACCTTAAGGTTCACAGCCCGATTCGTAACCACTACGTCAGACTTAATTAGGCAGGTGTTATTTAGATTCTAGACTAAAAGCAGATTAACTTGATTGTACTTTTTGTTTGACGATCTTTCATAGTATTTTTCAAAATTCCATTCCATAAGAAGATTAAAATCCAAGTAAAACTTGGGGTAAATCCTAAGTAAAATATACTGTTTTTAAATGAACATTTTATTTTAAACTGACTACTTTCTCTTTTTATCTCAAAGTCCATGCATGCTCTGCAGTAACAAATGTCGGTGCAGACAGCACTCTCAAAAGGAACGCAATGGTCCACACACACATACACTTTTTAATGTTGTTAAGTGCCACTGTGTTGGTTCTGACTATAGGGACCGTATATAGGGTTTCTGAGAAGTGGAGCGGCTGGTGAGTTTAAACCACTGACCTTCACTGTTCAAATCGACCTTGCAGGCCAGTGTTTATCTTCCAAAATTTGTTAATCTTACTCTTCTCCCTAAGTGTGTCTAAAGAATTCTTCCCTTTGAAGTATCTTAAAGTGTAGTCAGACTTCTACTCCCCCTCCCCTTTTTTTACATGACTGAGCTGCATTTCTAATACAAAATTGGGCTTTTTTCCCCTTCTCATCAAAATCAAAACAACCAAGAAAAGTACTAATACTAGTTGTTTCAAAGAAGACTAAAAGAAGGGAGTTTTCCTTGCCCATAATTAGAAAATTCACTCTACAGCACTATTAATGAGTTTCCTAAGCTCCTAAATGATAACAAAGGATTAACCCAGGTGTCATACTTTCCCACGTTAATTTTTAATTTGTTTCAGTGTTTCTCTCCACAGATTTCATGTCAAATTTAAAGCTAAGTTTTAGTGCTTAACTCCATCAAAATCAACAGAAACTAAATGGCTGGAATTATGAAATATAGTTTAAGTGTAAAGATCACCTGACAATATAAATATTACTTGACTCCATGGTACCTAACCACCACCACTATGATATGTCTAAAATAAAGATAAGGTTGTGTGTACTGCCACAGCAATATATGTCGTATTGATATTTTCATAATATAAATTACTAAATGAAAAAATAAGCACAAAGGAAATATCAATAGAGTAAAACTAATACTTGCATTCAGACAAAATATTCAAGACAGTATTCCTTCTAAATTAGATCCTTTTATGAAAAATTCAACGGCACTTAACAACAACAACACTGTGAATATAATAGTATTACATAATGCCTTTCAGGAAACTCTCTTTTTAAGGAAAATGTTCCAATTACTTTAACTTTCTATAACTCTTCTATTTAAATTAGAAAAGAGATACTTGATAACACTGGTAGCGTAGTGGTTACGAATCAGGCTGCTAGTCTCAAGGTCAGGAGTTCGAAACTACCAGCTGTTCCGTGGGAGAAAGATGAGGCTTTCTGCTCCCGTAAAGATTTACAGGCTTGGAAACCCTGTACAGGGTCGCTATGAGTCGGCACCAACTCCACGGCACACAACAACAACAACAAAATCTTTCTCCTTGGCTCCTCTTGAAGACATCACCAACAAACAGAAGTTACTTATCTAAATCTGAACAAGATATTATTATGAGAGAAAAAACACCTTAAGGTTGACAGAAACCTTAGACATCTCATCTACAATCTTCTGAGGTGAAAAACAAGGGACCCAGAGAGTTCCAGTCATTTGTTCAAGGTCACACATACCTCCATCTATATTGTGTGATCAGTTCTTGTTGCTTCCTGCCAGAAAGAGTCAGAATTCAGCTTACACTATAGCCTCTTTTGACTCCTGATGTGGTGCTACTGTAGGATAAGCACTGGACTTTGAACCACAAGATTGTCAGTTCAAATCCCACCAGCTGCTCCTTGGAACTAACTTGAGGACTCTCAACAACAATGTGGTCTGATTACTCAGAGTGTAGTATGCTGACTAGGAGCAATAATCCAACAGCAGTAGCAGCAGGCAACTACTAAAAATGTAGACCCCTGGATCTCCCCCTTGGATCTACTGAATCAGAACCTGCATTTTTAACAAGATCCCTAGACAACCTGTAGTACAACGGAACTTAAAAATTCACTGCAAACTTTAGCCTGCATCAGAAACACCTGGAACTAGTTAAACAGACTGCTAGCCCTCATCTTGAGAGCTTGCAATTCAGTGCATCTAGGCTTTGAAGCACTAGAATTTGCATTTCTAACAAGTTCCCAGATGAGGCCGATGCCACTAGTCCATGAACTGTATCTTAAGAACCAACACCAAGTATACAATTAGTAAAACCGGAAGGATACCAGCTTTAAAATTATTAATTAGATAGCCCGACACAGTTTTCATGTCACGCACCTTTGAAATCAACTTTTCTCTTTCATTCCTGAATTTAAAAATAAATAAATAAATGTAGGGTCAATATCCGTGAAAATCAACTTAGAGCTTAGAGCAAGTTGACGGAGAACCTACTAGAGGGTTGAGGATAAAACTAAGATGACAGAATGAGAAAAACTAAGCTCACCCATGATCTTTCCTAACATACTGTATCAAAATGGTGTGCACACTCAACTACAGGCTACACAGTAATACATCAATTTCTTTCAAGGTAGCAATTTGTGCCTCTTGGGATAGTTTGTCTATCTTTCCTCTATTATACACTGAACACCTAAGAGCACTACCACTAACCCCAAAACAAGATATAAACTATTCTCTCTCATTCTCATAGTTATTAGAATATAGTCTGTACATTCCATTAATTTCTGGAAAATGGCCTAGCTAAGAAAGATCTAAAAGAACGTTTTCTCTATCATAGCTGTTATTTTAGACCCACAGGAGAGGCTTTAGAGGAATAAAAAGGTTCCGCCCTATCCTAGAATACTTAAATCACAATAGGTTGACGAGAAGTGTTGGCATTTTTTTCAAAAACTTCACAGGTAATCCTAAAACACTGGTAAAGTTGAGAATTTCTGATCTAACAACAACAACAAAAAATCCCAGTTAAAGAAGAGTATAGAAATAACATTATTTAGAAAAAGCCTGATTCCAAATAATTTCTGCTATCCTGAAATTTTGCTTTTGTTTTTAACATTAACCAATACATTTACTTTAAAAGTTGAAAATTATGTCTTAAGAAAATCCTGAAGCAAGCAGACTTTTCATACCATAAATGATCTAAAAGTAAGGGGGGGAAAAAAAACCTTGAAAGATACTGTATTTTAACATCATGACATTGAAACTCAATCTTTTCTCACTGCCATTATAATCTCCCTCAAGCAGAATTAACCAAGACTTGGTTTTCCAGAAGGTGAAAAAGGAGCGTCAAGAAGAGATCATTTTATGCTAACACCACATCTGGGGAAAATAAAATTCTGTTTATGAGCATAACATAGAAATTTTTTAATTCAACAATTTCAGTAACATTATGACATGTTATTTTGAAACAAGAATAACAATGGCATTTTCTAAAATTTCCTTATAATGTAAGAAAAACAAGTTTTCTTCCAAGAACTTTAACTTCCTTGCCCAAAGGAAAGACATCTAAGTTACTAATTCCTGATAAAGGCGCCATCACATAAACTGACATCTTGCTATAGGATAAGCACTAGACTGAAACGTCAATTTGAACCAAAAGGTCAGCAGTTCAAACTCACCAGTCACTCCTTGGAAACCCTATACAGGGTTGCTATGAGTCGGAACCACCTCAATGGCACTTAACAACAATAACATTATTCTAGATGATTCTACTTGACAACTACTTGACATTATCAACTCAACTGTGTGAAAGATTTCTTTACAGCAAAGATCAGAACATTAGAAATTCTGAAGGATTCTACTTCATAAGTACTGTGTTATGACTATATTCTTAATATACAGTATGCATATTATGGAATTTATGAAATAAATTCAAAAAGAATCATACATACCACAAGAGTGTCCAAAGAGTCAATTAGTGTCAGAGAAAATCTAAGAAACAAGATACAAAACATTAGAAATCTAAGAATTTTTTATCAATGAATTACACGCAGACACATTTACATCCTTTTGACTGATAGTTTCTGTTGAATAATAGTACAATATGAGGGGGCTTCAAAAAGGTCTTGAAAATTTTTCCATTATCTTTTAATTCCATTCTTCAATAAAACTTAACTCCCTCATATAATCAATAAAGAACTGAAAGAATTTGAAAAACCTTAACAATACGTTTATGTTCTACTACAAGTCTTTCAAGATTAATAGAAACATTCATTAGTTCTTTTTAAGCAAATGAAAAAATATCAGCATGTTATATAATGTATTATGTACTTTATATACAAAGTTAAACCCAGCTTCGTAACTCGCTCGAATTGCCTCCTAGAAGAACAACAGTTGGGTCTTTTGAGATGCCATGTCATCCTGTGTAAATACTCACTTTCCCAAGGCATCATCAACATCACCCCGACTTGGCTCCTGGCCTCGGACTCGACCTCTGCAGGTTAAGGGCATGAGTTCATCAGCTGGGTAAGCATGTTCCTGCAAGGAAGACCTTAACAAGTCACTAAGAAAAGTAAGACAAAGCACACACCACCTAGAAATTACAACCTTTTGTAGTTAAAAATATGTGAAGGTTAACAACTTTTACTATTCTTACAGCTTATAGACTCTTTTTTTAAAAAAAAAATTGCAAGTGTAATACATGCTAGAAAATATGCCAAGCAACTTAAGGGAAAAAAAAAAAAATTGTAACTGATAATCCACTTCCTCCCTCACCCCACCCCATCCCTGACTCATTCCTCAAGACTGGCACTTATCATTCCAGATTTCTCTATATATATTCAAAGACAGACACATATCTCACTTTTACATTTTGTTTACATTAACACCTCCATAGGGCATTTGAGCCATACATTTGAGCACCCTATGGAGCACAATTCTACTATGACATACATGAGGTTGTCATAAGTTGAAACTGACTTAATGGCAACCGATTTTATAGTTTCAATTGTTACTGTGAGTAGAATTTTTTGAAGGAATAATGATGACAGAACATTGCCAGTCTAGGTGGTGATAGTGATGAACAAATGCAAGTACCTCCCCCGCTTACCTATTAAGAACACTTTCAAATGTTGCATAGTTTGCTTTTTTTTAATTTATTGAATACACAGCTGTACTTGAAAGCAGGAAAAAAATTTCAAGTACACAAAGTGAGTAGTGGAGTATAGGAAATGAAGCTGTACTGAAACAACATGGGTCTTAAGAATAAAGGGTTTTGTGGGAGTTGTGTTAACCCCCAAAGGGTATGGGAGTTGATGTTGTTGTTACCGTTAAGTGCTGTTCTGTTGGTTCCAACTCATAGCGACCCTGTATAAAGTTTCCGAGGAGCAACTGGTGAATTTGAACCGCTGGTCATGCAGTTCAAAGCAACATTGCAGTTGAGCTCTTATCCTACAGCACCATATGAATACATGGACCTAAGCTAAGAACTTGTTGTTGTTGTTGTTAAGTGCCGTCGAGTCGGTTCCAAGCCATAGTGACCCTGTACAGGGTTTCCGAGGGTGTAAACTACCGCGGAGCAGCTGGTAGTTTCGAACCGCTGACCTTAAGGTTCGCAGCCCGATTCGTAAACACTACGCTACCAGAGCTCCTTAAGCTAAGAACTAGACTACTTAAATTGTGTGACTGCTTCAGTGAAAACTGGGTTGGAATATCTCCACCTACTGGCCCCTGGCCTTAACAGAAAAGGAAAGAAACACAAGAAAAACAGAACGATCTGCTGAACTTTGTATTTTCTTCACCAGCGAAGAGTCCTTTGAAATTCCACTAATATTAATAAATTATGATTATGAAAAACATCTAGAAACTAGACTTGCTGTATTAATGAGATGTTTCAACTTTAAACAATGTTTAATGCCTCCCTGCCAGGAAAAATAAAATTCATACACTCATATTTTTTCCTACTCAATTTAGAAATTTTCCATTATATTATTGCAGCAGTTTTCACTTTGCATGCTTTCAGTTGGCATGAGTTTCAATAACCACAATTTATTTAAGTGGTACCAGTCCTACAACAACAAGGTTCAAATTTCAGTCATCCCGGTATATTACCAGTGAGTATAAGAAACTCCCAAATGTGCTCCTTGGAAGTAATGATGGCAAGACTTCAGCTCACTTACTTTGGTCATGTATGTTCACCAGGAAAAACCAATTGGTAGTCCTGGTATGACTCTGTAAGGTTAAGTACTGGACCACAAGATCAGTATGAAACACAAGGTTGGCAGTTCACTCACCAGCCGCTCCTTGGAAACCCTAAACAGGGTCGATATGAATAGGAACCAATTCAACACCACTTAAACAACAACAGAAAAGGGTATCATATTTGGTAAAGTAGGTGGTCAGCATCAACGAAGGAAACCCTCAAAGAGATGGTCTGACAAAACCCCAGAAAAACGGAGTCAATTACCATCAGTCATGAGGAAAGCATAGGACTAGCATTGTTTCATTGTGCTACACTTAAGATCACCATGAATCAGAGCCAATTTAGCAGCATGTAACAACAAGCAACTACATAGAGTACAAGCTTTGGTGCTAGCTCTTAAATTCACAGATCACTACATAAATTAAAAATGCTTATCATGATCAGTGACCAATCATATAACTTGCTGCATTCTCCCTGTGGTAAATTTACAAAATAATTAACAATAAGGATAAATGAAAAAGTGTTGTTGTTGTCAGGTGCCATCGAGTCAGAACCGATTCATAGCGACCCCA